GACGATAGTAGAGACATGATTGAGTTGAGGTTGACGGTGAGGCAAGGTCGGTAACTTATGGAGGCTGTTGATGGGAGTTATGAACGGGAGATAGAGAACATCATGGATAAACAAAGCTCTCCTATTTTGTTACAGGAGGTGCTACTATTGCTACAACTCGAGGGAGAGGATGCGATATTCTAACGATTCATCACCGCCATCATGACTAGGACATGATGGGTCGGTCGCGAACCTGTGAAGAAGGCAAGTCAGTGGCCAAATAAATATTCAGCATGTCGCATACCCGCTGTGTTCGTAGAACTGTACGGCTTCAGAATTGTCTATGAAATCGTCAGACAAGGAATATATCAGAGAGATAATCCTCAGCAAACCTTTGAAGACCGTAAGCACGATCTTATCCATATCGTATTTTTTGCCAATGACTTTCACTTGTTCCATCAGTACGCGACCGAGACCTTGCCGCTTGAAGTTCGGAGAGACCTGCAGTTCGTAACTAAAGTACTTCTTCAGTTTCATCTGACTAACAAAAAGAGAGCACATACCAGTATATCAAGTTTTTCTCTTCTTCAAACTCGAAGCGAAACATCGTGTACGCTACGAGCGCCGAGTCGCCATCGTAGGCCAAAATAAACCTAGACAGACGGTGAAAAAGCTCATTTTTCTTCTCATCCGGGTACCAACCCATGGAAGGGGATGCCTCATAGCTGACGGATACCGTCAGCTCGACATAAATCAACTCATCCAGTTTACTTGCAGGGATTTCATATTCGTCATGAAGAACTCCCAGCAAGCATCTCTCTCATCCTTTTGCAAATCAGACGCATATTTTGCCTCCAATGTGTATCTTATTCCACGGATTGAATTTAACGAGGTAGAAACCCTAACTGACCAGCCTACCTGGTTCCTTTAGTGTCTATCTCTGAAGGTATAAGTTTTGTCAAAGCTTTCGAAGTGGCCTACACAAAATTCATCAGATATATGTACTTCCTTCCCCATGGTTATACCTACTCACCTTGTTGGCGACCTTAACCAAAGTTGAGCCTGTTGCTGACATGATTGCTTGGACAAAGGACTCTGGTCCCTGGAGAGACTCTGAAGTAAGTTCGATCTTGGGCGCTAGTTGTGCGTCTTGATTTGGAAATCCTCCGTCATTCCCATTTCAAGTTTTCGAGATCACTTCCCTCGAATATGGCAGAGACCACGACCGAGCCCCAGCTACCCCCGGTGCTGCAGTCGCTCACGAACCTACTCGACGAAAAGACCGAGACCCTTGCCATCGGGAACCCAGACATACGAGCCGCCGCACTCGACGCTGCCAAATTTGTGTTTGACCTCTGTGCGTGACATCTTCCTTCAAATATGACACCGTTCCTCATGTCTCATGCAACGGGATGTAGCAATACAGTCTGAGAATGCAGCCCGGCCACATATAGGCGAGCTGATCTCCTCGCTGAGCCCCGAATCGGCGCCGCAGACGCGAGCCCAGGCACGGGCGAACGGAAAGCGCAAACGGTCCCCGAGTCCACCGCTGAAGCCCAAGCAGACGTTTGCACCCACACCCTTGACTGCGCTGTACGTTGACGGTGTTGACGAAGAGCAGATATGGTCGCAACTTGATCTGCGGGTGAAGAATGTCTGTGATTTATTGGAGCTTGCACTAGAAGGGGGTCCTGGTAGCGGCGAGGGAATAGAAGAGGATAGTGATATTGACGAAGGTGACCCCGACGCAAGGTTGCAGAAGATTCTGGAGGCTCTGAGGAATGGAGAAGATGTGGATCTGGAGGCACTCGGTCTAGACGGAATGGACATAGACGACGACGATGAGGACAGTGAAGAGGATGACGAGGAAGATAGCGACGAAGACGATGAAGATAATGAAGATGCTGAAGAAGAGGAAGGGGAAGATGATGAAGAGGAGCTAGGCGAGCACATAACCACTTTACGGGATTCATCATCTTCAGAGGACGAGGATGACGAATATGAGGAAGAGGGCGCATTCCGCCACAAAAAGCCACCCGGGCCCAAAAGACGCGGCGCTCGCCATTCAGAACTCGACGACGACTTCTTCGACTTGGCCAGTTTCAATGCCGAGACCCAGGCAGCGGAGGCGAAGCGCGTTTCGCGAGGAAAACTGGGTGACGACGACGATGATTCTGACGATGATATGTCGGTCGACTTGTTCGCTGCAGTAGACGACGTTGAGAATTTCGACGAAGAGGACATGGATAATAACGTTGGAGGTTTGTTCTACTACACCTCAGATTGTGCTCCTACTGACTTCAAGGTATACAGAGGCTTACTATAAAGATTTCTTCGAACCACCACCACGTCTACCTACCAAGAAGGACAAGCGCGAGAAAACTGCTGCTCCAACTTCACCCAAGAAGCCCGGTACTGTCAGATTTGCTGAAGAAGTACGCGTCAAGAAGATCAAATCAAAAGGGAAGAGCCTTCCTGTGTCCACCATGTATGAAGACGATGTCGATGATGACGACGAGGAATATGAAGATGAAGATGGAATGCTTGCAGACGACTTTGGGGAGCTAGGCATGGATGAAGACGAGGAGGCCGATGGGTTCAATTTTGGCGAAGAGGGCGAGGAGGATGAAGATGAAGAAGATGACGACGACGACGATGAAAGCGGAGAGGATGAGCAGGACAAAGACAGTGATGACGATGATGACGACGAGGAGAGTGAGGAAGGCGAAGGTCGTGAGACTATTGAACGCCTCAAGGACGACTTGTTTGCAGACGAGGAGGACGAGGAAGAGAATGGTCAGTAAGAGTTTAAGGAAGCTGTCCTGCTCTGCTCATTGGAAGCAATTTTCATAGATCTCACTACTCACGAGCAACGAATGGCCGCGTTAAAGGAACAGATCGCCTCGCTGGAAGCTGAGAACGTCGGCAAGAAGGACTGGGTGCTTATGGGAGAAGCCACCTCGAAGTCACGGCCGCAAAACTCGCTACTCGAAGAGGATCTAGAATTCGAGCGCACAATGAAGGCTGTTCCAGTAGTGACTGAGGACAAAATCCAAGCACTAGAAGACCGTATCAAAGCACGCATACTAGAGGGTCGCTTCGACGATGTCGTCCGCCTGCGACCCATAAATGATAAGCCGTTCTTGCCTTCACGGCTATTCGAGCTGCAAGACACGAAGTCATCACAGTCGCTGGCGCAGATATATGAAAATGACTATGTGGCGACTCAAAATGGTGGCTCGGCCGATGATAGAGACGGCAAGTTGAAAAAGGAGCATGAAGAGCTCGAAAAACAATGGGACGGCATATGTTCAAAGTTGGACGCGCTCTGCAACGCACACTTCGTACCCAAGCAGGTGGGTTGTATCATTTTATTGTTTTGGTGCGGCTTCTTATGTCTTTGTGATGTCTCGTAGCCAAAAGCCATTATCTCAACGGTTGCAAACGTCTCGACCACCACCCTCGAGTCGGCCTTGCCAACGACAAAATCTGCTTCCGCACTTCTGGCTCCGGAGGAAGTTTTCACACCAGCCGCGGGCGATCTTCGCTCTAAAAGTGAGATGGCCCCGGCAGAAAAACGCGCTGCACGCAACAAAGAGCGCAAGTCAAGAAAAAAGACCCGAGATTTGTTGGATTCGGGTGTAGATAAGTATGCGAAGATGAAGGGAGTGAAGAAGCAGAAACAGGCAGCTTTAGAGGGCATTGTGAAGACTGGGAAGGGGGTCACGGTCGTTGGGAAGAAAACCAAAGATATATTAGGGAAGAAGGGTAGTAAGAAGGGCAAGTAAGTAGGCGTGTCGGCTTGATTGCCCTCTACACAGCGCGGTTTACTATTTGTCGTTTCCATGCCCAATGCTTGCTGCATCGCATCTCTATATTATAGTAGTGAGTGTAATCTGCACACGACGAAGCGTCAATACCGCTCAAAGGTGATGGAGAAGGAAAAGAGTTCAGACTTACCGATGGCAGTATGCGCTATGACAAGTCAGGCAGGGAGCCTCCGTTGACTTTATCTTTTGATTTCCATAGTCGCGTCACAGACCCATAGCAGGTCGCGCACAAATGGTGAGCAACTTTCGGTAGTCCACAACCAGGGCAATGTACAAGATCTAATTCGCAAGAGCAAATCAGCTTCCCAGCAGAATATTACTAGCCAACTTCCGACGCACTTTGCTTGTCCTTCAGGCCTTTATTTGAACTGCGCATGGCTTTGCGCGAGTGGGAGACTTTCTTCTTGGGTACGGCAAGGAGAAATGGAGGAAACAGGTCCTCCAAAAACGACCGCAGGGAACCAGCCCCAAGAACTGTGGCAAGCAGCGCGGTGCGACCGAATGCTACTGGAGCTTGGAAGGAGGGGAGATTGAAGAAAGCCAGTCGCGTTGCCTTCAACGCCAATGCAGACATGATCGTGGACTTCAGGAAAGAGGGTCACACCGTGTCACGTCACAAAAGCGAGCACTCCTCCTTCTCGCCGTCATGTTACGCGCCAGTCGCCCTCTATTCCAAGTCCTCAAACGAACGACGGGCATCACAGGCCTCAGTGTCCACCCGGATCCCCTACCGCAGCTAGCAAAAACATACGAGTCCACCCTTTCCGCCCTAGCAGCCATTCCGCCTACCTCCGTCTATCGTCAGGGCGTCGAGGCACTTACCCAGCGCAAGCTGAAGATCGTGCAGGATGCTCAGGGGGACATAGCTGCGGTCGAGAAACAACTAGATGAGGGGCAAATAGAGGAATCACTCGACATTGCGTCGGATGAGCTCAAACTCGCAGCTAAGATGGTCGAATGGAAAGCGTATGTCCGATCTCCCTCGTCACGTCGATAATATCCTCACAATCTATTTCATAGTTGGGAACCTTTGGAGGAGAAGCCCCCACAGGGACAATGGGAGTACTTTGGGCAGGAGTCCACAGCGTCTACATAATATACCATAGACTTTAGTAGAAGTTGCACTGCGATTTTCAACAATCTGGAGAGCACAGAACCTAGTAAATGTAAAAGTAAGCGAAACTAACATGAGCTGTGATGGCCGAGTCGTTAAGGCGAGTGATTTGAACTTGATCAAATATCACTTGGTGTTTCACCGCGTAGGTTCAAATCCTGCTCGCAGCGAACTTTTTGTTTCCCCTTGCTTCCACTTCCATTCTCCGTTATACTACAGTTCCTGGCGCGGTCTGTTGTTTTCCCACGCTGCTTGTTCCAAAACCTGAATCGTATACGCTGCAGGGCGCAGCTTGTAGCTCGACATGGACACTCTCATCCCATTCACAACTTCGGGGTCTCTCGTGGATTGCGTGGACAGTACGTCTGTCCTTCAAGTCAACTCCTTGCTCCAGCTAGTACCAACCTGAGCACCCTCTTCCCCACCACATCATATCACCTCCATGGATGCTTGGCCAATTGTCACCTATTCATCGGTCCAGGGAAGATGCTAGTTGTCCTCCGAGACGGTAGAAAACTGCACGGCGTCTTACGTTCTTACGATCAGTTTGGTGAGAACCCATTCCTGTGTTGCGTAGCGTGCGTGGACTCATGTACCTCTTGGCAAGCTAATCTCGTACTCGAAGACACGGTTGAACGAATATACCACGGAAATGCTTTTGCAGAAAACTGGCACGGTCTCTTCCTCATTCGTGGTGAGAACGTGGTCCTCCTCGGCGAAATAGTGCGTGTCAATACTTTGAGTACTACTGCCGACTCATACGGCATCAACTTCCAGGACCTAGATCAAGAAGATGAGATTCCTCTTCAGCAAGTCGATTATGCTCTCCTTGAGCAATATACGAAGAAAGATGCCGAAATCAAGAAGCGACGCGAGGAGATCAAGGCTCAGGTACTATTCGAAGAGAAAGGATTCTGCAAGGAAGGTGGGGAGGGCGATGGGTACTGAGTGTGGTGGTGGTTTTATCATTCGGGCCATCGTGCATCTCGCTGTTCATCAGCACTCGATATGGCTGATTCATTATGCCATCAAGACACAGGGGGACTTGCTACGTATATAGAGGATATATTCGTCTAGGTATTGTGCGCTATCAAAATACATACCGACATTGCTATGGCTCTAGTCAAATATTACACGCTAAACAAATTAATGCCATGTCCCAAGAAGGTGCCAATGAAAGTTGAAGCAAGCATGAATGGACAAAATAAAAATACACATGGGGTCAAGCCAACGTCTTCCGTTTCTTGCCCTTCTTCGCGTCGCCGTTTATCTTCGGTTTATTACTGTGATTAGTGTGTCCGTTCGATAATTTATTATTGGAGAAGGCCAGAGGGGATTTGGAGAGAGTATCGGGGTTGGATACTTGCTGGCCCACCAAGTCTTCCATAAACTTGCGTATCTCGCGCTCTCGAGTAGTGAGTTTGAGCAGTGCCTCTTCTTTATTTTGCTTTTCCTTCTGGACGTCCTTGTGTCGCACCCCCTGCCAGCTGAAACGCCAGTTAGCTTAATAGTAAATGGGATCTATACCACTTACCCCGAGTGTCGTTCGCACTTGGTTGGGCCACGACACCACCACTCCCCTTCACTTTCTACATCGCTTTGAACATCGCCACTAGCGAGCGACTCGTAGCTTTCTAGAACGCCTTCGCCGTACTCGGCATATTCCTCATCGCCGAAACACAATCGTTGGTCCCAACCACATTCCCCGAGTTGTTGGGCACGATCGCTGGCGAGCTCGAGGAGACGCTCACGCCAGCCCACCACCTCCATTCCCATCTTCACCTCCTCTCTCTGATTCACCACCAGGTCGAGAAGACCATTCAACCGCTCAACCTCCTTCTCCGACTTGCTCTTCTCAGGCTTCACCCGCACAGCCGGGTTCTCTCTCTCTGGGCTGTCACCACCGTGCAGTATGACCACGCCTTCGCGCTTCTCCGCATTCTTGACGTTTTCCCAGAGTGTCTCCCGCTTGCCGCCTTGCTTCGCCCAGTCATCGATGCGTGCCTGTAGACACTTAAACCCGCATTCGTCAGAGCAGTACTTCGAGAGCGCACCCCGCGCCGGTTTATGGCAAGCATCTGGGGAAGATGGGGTAGGATGTGACAAGCCGAATGAACACCGTTTCTTGTATGTAGTGCACAAAGAGAGCTGAGGGTGACCTGGTACCAATTAGATCAGTTTCTTGAGGACGTTCAGAGACAGATTTCCTTACGCTTTATGCAAAGCGGACAAATAAACTGATCCACCAAATCGACTTCCAAGTCAGGCATGCTGACGCATTGAGTGTGATACCATTCGTCGCAGCTGTATGCTTATCGCTTAGAATTGAACCAGGAAAGAGTCGAGTACTCGTACCGATCGCACGCTATCATGACTCTATCCTCGTCGTACTTGGTCTTGCACACACAGTATAGTTTATCGTCATCTACCGGAGCGTCATCTTCTGGTTCATTCTCCTTTTCTTTGTCTTTATCCGCAGCGGTCTCTCCTTCGGGGCCGACAGAACCGCTTGGCATGGCAGAGGTTGACCGAGACCTGACATTGGCATTCGCGTTAACGGCAGGGGGCACTTTCTTGCTTGCAGACTTGGACGCTTTGCTACCTGCTCCCGCGGAAGAATCAGCATTTTTTGGTTTTGGTTTTGGTGCAGGTTTCGCGCGTGCTTTGCTGGAGGCGGTCGCAGTAGTTGCCTTGGGTTTAGAGGCAGTCTGTACAGGTCAGGTTAGCCAACATTCGAAGGCCAGAGTATTGGAACGCAGACCTTCTTCTTTGGCGGAGCGCTGCTGCTTTCCTTTTCCGAGTCCTTCTCCTTGCTCTTGCTAGTCGCGAGTCTCGGAGCGGGAGGGGGCATGGAGCCGCGCTCTGGAGTTGGTTCGATTCCACTCGTCTGCAGCGCTGATGGAGGCCTCGAGGGTGGTGAGGCTGGGCGTGATCCAGATTCGCTGGCTTTGCGAGACGACGGTTTGGCATCCAAGGTGGCCATATGAGGTGAGCTCCGGCCACGATGCGCAGCGTGTTGTGGCTTATCATCCACTAAGCTCAATAACTCATCTTCCACATCAACTTCCATGCTGCTGGTTGGTTGCGGAGCGCGTTCTAACTCTCTAGGTTGCGATTTAGGCCGTGGAGGCTCGGGGTCGAGATCCAGTGTCTCTGCAACCAGACTGGTCACTTCCTTGTCGACGTCCAGCGCGCCTCCAGCCGTGTCAGCCTCCCGTTCAGGTTCTTCCATCAGAATATCTTCCAGCTCTTGTTCCAATGCAGCCACAGCGTCGTCAGAGATAGTCATGGCAGGGCTACTGTTGGTAGTGGCATCTGTTGTTGTTGCAGCTTTGGGTCCTACCGCTGGAGCGACTGGCGACGCTTTGGCTTCCGGCTTGGGGTCGCTACGCGATGGCGACGGGGCATCCGTCGACTGCTCAAGCAGCCACTTGTGTACGTCGTCCTGCGATGGGTGGCTCTTCGGAGAGATGGGCTGCTTCTGCAATGGTTGAGACGGCGGGGATGCCTTCTCGGGCTCGGAGCGTTGAGGGGGCGGAGAGACTGGCTTAGCATCAGAACCAGGAAATCGCAGAAGGGAATGAGTGCGTGAGCCCTTCTTATCCTTTGCAACTTGTTTAGCCCTACCTGGACCACGCTCATCATCCACTCTCTCCTCTCGAACGTCCGCCATCAACGTGTTCGCAGGTCCCTCACCGACTGGTTTCGTGTCGGAACTGTTCCAGGCTTCAGGGGAAGGATTTACTAATGCCTCGTGCGGCGTGAGATGCGATGACGTAGAATCCACCCTTCTGGCGGCTTTGGCCCTTCCTTCCTGGCTACCTGGGGGTAATCTCTTCGGTTGCCGGACTTCTGGAGGACCTTCAACCGTTTCGAGCTTTACGATTCGAGGAGGGGATACACGGGTTCTGGCGGGAGGGGAAGCCTGGATGGGGGTACGTGTCGACTGTCGTGGAGGGGGCCGTGGGGGCGGCGACGGGTCGTCTCTCGGCAGAAGTTCTATAATCTGGGGTCGGTGTGGGGGTGCGAATATACTCGTCGGCTCTGCGGAGATGGGGTAGGGAAAGTCTGGCTTCCGTTCTTCAATATGATGTTCGAGATGCGACTTGCCCGAAGTTGACCCTGACTCTTGGCGCATCCTTTGTCCCTCTAGCTCTGTTTCCCGTTCGCGTTCAAGCTGCATCTCACGTATCCGCTTTCGCCGTAATTCCTCACGCTCGTCTTGTTGCCTCCGTTCCACCTCCCTCCGCCTCGTCTGTTCATCCCTGAGCGCCAAAATTGTCTGTTCTTCCCTTGGTGTCAAGCGGGTGGAGGAAGGGGGTGCATGGTGGTATGAATCCTCTGGCGAAACTCGGGGTTTCTTAGGTGGTCGTGGATCGGATAGCGGTGGCGGCAGTCGGATGGAAGCCTGCGATGGAGATAGCAAGACGTGCAGTGAAGGAGATACTGTTTGATGCGGTTGATGGCTGGGAGACGCAACTAAATGGGACAATGTTGGTCGGTGTGAAGTGGCAGGCGATGTCAGATGCTTCAAGGGTTGCGGAGGGGACTGAGCTTGCGTGATAGAAGGAAGTCCGGGATCTGATTTCCTTGACGGATGAGGTAAACGAGGAGGGTGAGGAGCCTCAAGCGGCGGAAGGGGGCCGTACTGGGATTGGTACGGACGAGTATTGGAGGAATGCGATTGTCCCGACGTCGAGGCTTCAGCGGGAGAGCCGAAAGGTCGGTGTTGGGGCTGCAACGGTGAAGGATGGGAGTGGGGATGTAACAAGGATTCCATGGATAACGGCCGGCGAGGGGGAGCAGGGCTGGCTGAGGCACTAGGAAACGTCCCAGCTGGGGGAGCTGAAGTTTGATGCCGATCGTGAGGGGACTCCTCCGCATGCGACGTCGCGCGAGGCCGTTCAATGAACTTATTTTCCTCACGCTCCCGCTCTTTCTCTTCCATCACTCGGGCGCGGTCTCTAGCTGCAACCTCCGCTTTCATTCTTTCGTGGTCACGTTGTTGCTGCTCCCGCTGCATCTGCAACCTCTGCAACTGACGCTGTTGTTCTCTCTGATCATTGAGATTTTTCTGTTCCTCCAAGCGTAATTGATGACGTCGCCTTTGTTCCTCCGTCTTCTGGCGTTGTTCTTCTAGCTTCTGCATGCGTAAGCGAGAGTCAAGCAG